AGGCAATTTTCGAAGCTCCTCAGATGTCAATGGTACACACGGAGTGTTCGATGAGGACTCGACAGCCAGTTCGGCAAGCTGGGGCGGGGGCTGTGCTATAAAGAAGCTGGCTCGGCTCTGTCGCTTCGTGGGAGATGCTTCGAAATTTCGAGGGCTCGCTTCGAACTTCGTAGGGGTCGCTTCGAAACGTTGGGTGGGAGGGGGTGCGTAGGTCATGTCTCGAACATTTGCAGATGGGAAAGCGGGACTCTCGGTGTTGATGGTAGGTCGGACGACTGGCGCAGGCGCTGGGGTACTTGGTCTCGTCTTCGAACATGGCAGGCGGTTTGGGGCTCGCTCCGAAAACTTCGAACACGTCATGGGTAGTAGTGGTTGATCAGCCAGGTGGGTGTTCGAGCATAGGGGATGCTTCTCGATGACAACTCGGTCGACAACGGTCTGCTTACGCTGTTCCCGAGCATAGATCTCCGTCAACCATGATAGCTGGGCGTCCATGCAGGCTAGCATCTCTCCAATGTCGAGGGCATGCGTAGGGATAGGCGGACTCTCGACTGCTTCATAGAGCAACTGTGTGGCTGTAGCACCTTGCATAGCACTGCCTGAACCACTCGAAGACGACGAACTGAGTCCTAACTTGTTCGAACGACGTGCATGTTCGTAGATAGCGTCTCGGAGGGTCTCGCTGTCTCGGCGACTCATGAAGCGGTTGTCGAACGAGACGATCTTGCCATCGGGGTTCCGTCGACACAGGCCCTTCTTCCTGTCTTCTTCGAACATCTCGCAGTCTCCGATCCAACATCCCGAACGTCCGCAATAGAAGCACCGAGGGCCGTCATGACTGTTCGAGAATTTGGGTGACCGGCTGTGAGACTGCTGGGCCTCGAGGGTCTTGATCAGCGTCTGTAGCAATGGTAGGAGGTCTTCGGACTTCGTGGTCACAGGTGGGGATGGCAGGATAGATGCAGCGGGTGTGGTCGTAGGCATAGGGGGACTAGCTTGCCGAAAGGTCGAAGCTGGTGTAGGACCATCTAACACCCACTGTGCTGACTCGTAGATCTCTGTGAACGTCCAGGGCTTCCTTCGAGAGCGGTCAGGGTTCCGCATGAACAGGCGCTGCTCGATGGGACCCCAGAGCGTATTCGGAAAGCCTTGCTGGAACTTCCGATCTTGTTCGAGTGTCGAAAGCGAACCTCGAGTGATCAGGTACTCCGAAATCATGTAGAAGTCGCGGTAGTAGGCAGCGAGGTGGAGGGCATTGGTCATCCCGAGTTCTATGCGATCATGGACGACCGTGTCGAGATCAGTGAGCGAGTACTTGTGCTCGTCATCAGCTCCAGGATAGAGTGCTCGTAGGGCGGTCACGAACTCCTCGTAGGGCTTCGTAGCATCCTTGAATGTTGGCTGCATCATCCATAGGTCGGAGACGCGGATAGGAGGGTAGCGAACTGCCCATGACTTCTTGTCGGAGTCATCGGTAACTCGGCATCGTGCGAAGTGTGTTTCAAGGTCTTGGAAAAAGCGGTTGAATGAGAAAGGTTCTGACTCGTCGAAGACAGGTGCAGTGGAGTGTCCGCGTGCAGGCATTGAAGCCGCCTTCGAGGCTGGTGCTCCTGTGTCGGCCATATTTGGACTCAGCTTCGAAGTGTTAGAAGGAGTTGGCGAAGCGATAGAAGGGATTGTTGAAATGTTCGAAGGTATTGTCGAAGTGTTCGAAGGGTTAGGGGTGTCGACGGTCGAAGTCCGTCGCAGCGCGGACTGCTCTGGTCCTGGAGGGACTGACGACACTCTACGACTGGTGGGTATGGGTAGACGTGAGGTGGAAGATCCTCTACGCGTGGTGACTGTGGCTGAGGTGGGTTCCTCTCCTTCGAGAGGTGGTGATGGTGTTAGAAGCGGTAGAGGGGATCCGAAGACTAGTGCCTCTAAGTCGTCTGCAAGCAAGAGTCTTCGAGCACGTCTGGAATGGGATGGAGTAGTAGGTACTTGGTCTCGAACGGAGCGTTCCTGATCGTCGTGATCGGGGACAAGCTCGACGTGTTCGGACGAAGAGGGGATAGTCGAAGGTCCTGGTAGAGGGTTGCTATGCCTGCGAAAGGCGGCGGCGGATCCGGGACCTAGACGACTGTCGATAGCGAGTGCGAGAAGAGGACTTTCGTAGTCTCGGTAGTCTTCAGGGTTGACGTCGAAGTTCCGACGCGGCGGAATCTTGCTCTATATCCCCCTCGCGGTGGGCTCCAAGATGACGCGACCGAAAAGAACACAAAAGCCACACAAAAACCCAACCGTGAGGTCGAGCAGTGGTATGCGAGGCCTCTGCGTCTATGAGATGTACGGGGGACTGTACAGTGGTCTAGGTAAGAAGGAGGAGGACGGACAAGACTCCGAACGACGTGGGAGAACTTCGAAGATGTCGAAGACTGTTCGAAGACGAGGGCTAAGCCTCGAAGGTAGGAGAGAGGGTTTCGACAGACGTGTCGAACGAACGGTGACAAGGAAGGCGAGCGACGGCAGGAGAAGAAGTGTAGAGCCTCTCGGGGCAACTACGAGCTGGCGAACGTACTGACGAACTGACTGACTGACTTCGAACGTACTGACTGACTGGCGAACTTGCTGACTTTCGAACGTACTGACTGGCTGACGAACCTCGCCGGTGCGAGGTGAGATTGAGAGGGTAAGGGGGTCTCTGAGATTTGGAGGGAACCAGTCCCAGAGTATATACAGGGAAACACGGCTATTACCACTACGGAGCTCCGACGGCCCCAAACATCCGGCTATGGCTTCTAACACGTGACAACTGCTCTCGGGCTCGCTAACCAGTGGTCCGAAGGCCGACCGGCTATCACATGACGCCGGAAACCGAGACCACTCGTCGAGGATGTGAGACGACCTGCAAGGACTCACTGGACATCCTGTAGCATCCTATGGTCTCGCATGAGATCTTCTAACACCGTAGCACGTCTTCTAACATGTTCGAGTGTCTTCTAACACATAGTGTATCTTCGAGTGACCTGCGTACTCTGGGGTCGTCTAGATAGGTGGGTAGGTGCTCCTATAGCGTCACTGAGGTGCCGGAAGGTCGCGGATAGTCTTCCAAGGTGAGCCAGGGTTGGCTACGAACTTCGAAATCTTCGAACAGTTGTAGTGGATCTTCTAAGAGCTTTGGAGCATTGTAGAGGCCTAGATTGCGTTTTCGGGGCTTAGATAGCCTAGAGGCGTATCAGCGCGTGAGCCTGGACCATGAGGTCGGGACACGGATAGCGCATGCCACGGGACTTCCCGCAAGAAGCCACGTGATCCAATGACGTTGGATGTCCGTCGCGTTCTCGACTCGGCCTATGCCGGTCCGTAGATTTCCGACGACGAGAATGATGGGCAATCCTCGTTCGACGTGACAGGTCGGGCGCTCATCCACTATCCACGTTAGGACCATTCCGTTCCTCTCTGGGGTTCCCTCCACTCGGATCGTGACTGCGTTGGACTCAGGCATTGGGAGTCGCAGGGTGGGTAGAGACGGGGGGAGCGGCGTGGAAGGTGAGAGTGCGCGGAATTTCAACTCAGAGGTTGACCATGCTTTGAATTGACGGGGCTTGGTCATAGGTGTTTCCCGGCGATGCTGGTGCCTCAGCTGGGGTGCTGCAGTCTGTGGGGTGGTGGACGGTATAACACCTTCGTTTAATGTCAACAGGGCAGGTGAGATCTGTTTTATACGGCAAGGAGGGCAGGCGTTTACTTTGTGGAAGGTCCTGACGCCAGTTACGGCATCTGATACGATTTGAACGGCTTTAACGTAATTATTCTTGGGGAGGGATTCAGAACATAGGGAGTGTGGGGGCGCAGCTGGTCCTTATAGGCCAGTAGAAAGAGGGTGTCATCTGTTGCTTTGGAATGTCACTTCATTGTTTCGGGCGTCCACTTCCGTCAGATTTCGACATAAGTTATTGCTGTGGCCCTTTTGTTTGGGAGTGTTTTAACGGTGTGGCGGCGTTCGGGAAGGCGGCTCAGTTCGTGATTTATGAGTCACCCGGAGATGCGCTGCTCCGGTTCGTTTGCAGGCGTCTCCCGGGGTGGCTAAGCGCCCTTGCACGTCGGGTGGGACTCCGTGGTCGTCGTCGGCAGTGCTTGGGGTGACTAGCTCGGTCATGGGCATATTTATTCACTCTACCGGTGTTTCCGGTGTTTCTCAGGTAGGTCTGAGTGAGGTCAGGTTGGTTTGGCCCCGTTCGGGGATGGATTGAGCTCCGTTTCTTTGGATGGAGCTTCATCCTGGCTGCACCGCTGAGCGCGGTGAACAGTCCTTATAGCGCATGTTGGTTTCATCCCAGAGGGATTACTTACCCCCGGACCACGAGAAGGTCTGCGCAGGGCTCGTCGACAGCAACGAGTCCCTCCCGGGGGGACTACGAAAATGTTAAGCTTCACAAAACTGCAACTAGTTATATAAGTAATTAAATGTAAGCATGTAAGCTACCTACTTATCGGTGCATGCCAGCGTCTAAGTAACTTGGCTCGAACCAACACATCACTTCAGCTTTCCGCTCACATCGAGTGTTTCATGTACCACAGAATTCTGAGCCAGATTCCAAGCCAGACTTACGCTTTTTACAACGTTCTTCCGTCTGTAACTCAGGCATCACTCTGATCAAGTTGGATACGCGCGAACTGAGACGTACGTATACTCAAGATCAGTTGAAGTCAAGTTGAAGTAGCTTCAAACAGTACAGTACGGGGTAATATACACTCTATTCGAGGCAAATCTGAGCAAGTCTCACGTACACGGTAGATGCAGTCAGCGCCGCGGGCACTTACATAGCGATCCGTGAGGCCGAGTACACCGCCTTCATCAGTGTGCGCGCGAGTATCCTATCCGAGCCGGGGTGCACCAGAGTTTTACTCACATTGGGCACAGACTTGCTACGCCCGTCGACGCCTGCTTGTGACCGACTGGTACGTGCTCAATCGCTATTGACAATGATAGCCGCTGATTGCAAGGGTATAAGTCAGCGAGGCCGGGTGACAATCGACGTGTTCCAAACACCCCACTCCCACTCCTGGCGCTCTACTTCGAAACTGGTGTTCACCTCACCGACAGACGAATAGACTATCCACAATGCCAACAGAACAATACGTATCTCATCTGCCTCCCGAGCTTTGGGTCAAGATCGTCGAGAGCCTACCGCTTGACGCCGCCCGCACTTGTCTATCAGTAAACAAGCTCTTTCACGACGTCGCCCTCTCCACTGTCTTCGCGCGCATCGCGCTCGGCCTCGGCACGCTTGAGGCGCATGATCTTGCGCCGGAGGGCTTTCCTCACATCCGCGCATCCTTGCGTCTTGTAGAGGAAAGGCGGACGCGCCGCTCACTGGAGATCCTCGAGCGCATAGCGAGCGACCTGGCGTTTGGACGGGTCGTGAAGTCGTTGCAGGTTCAAGCATGCAATGCGGATGATGTAAGTGAGGCGGCAGTCGCGGTGCAGATCGGTAGGTCTTACGGAAGGTATCCGTACGGGCAGCAGTAATAACCCGGCGTATGATAGATCGCCTACTTGCTGCCATTCCCTCCCTCAAGAATCTCCGTGTGTTCCAGTGGCATTGGTCCTGCCCGAGACCGACTGAGAACATAGTCCAGAAACTGGCAGAGTCATGTCCTCTGTTGGAGCAATTCGAGGCGCCGTACGTAGCAGTCGCTTTACGTTGCGACATTTGCTCTTACAGCGCGTTCGCATTCCGTCGACAGACTCTTCTCGTGGCCAAGTCTCCCTGTACAGCTGCTCCGGAGCGTCAGGTCGATCCGCACCACAGTGGGCCGCGATGACCGCGATGAGCTCTTCAACATGGCGGATCCCGCGCCCGTGCTAGAATCTCTGTGGGAGAAGATGCAGTGCCCTCTTCCTGGCGTGGACGGCGTCGAATCGTGTCTTCTCGATAACATAACTGATCTGGAGTTGCTCTTTGAAGATGCATATGCGCCGAGGGACCTCCAAAACATCGTGCGCAAGGTTCCATGTTTGGAGTCGCTTACCATGGTGCCACTGCAATCCATGGATGACGAGCCGCAGGAAGAGATGTATGGCGCATTACAGGTGCTGCCGCTCAACCTGCCGTCCTTCGATTCCCTCGCGATCGGACCTGAGGACGAGCGTATGACGCCGCCGCAGATCGACGCGCTGTGCAGCTTCCTGAAGGGCAGACCCCGGCTGCGCAGATTTGTGACGAAGTGCAACCTCAATGCTGCAGCCGCGGAGCCGCTTTTCGAGGCGTTGGCCACTCTGGAGAATCTGGAGGTGCTTGGGCTGTTTCTTGCGTGTGATGCCACGCCGACAAAGGATTGGATACACCGTCTTGTGGACCGCCTCCCTACCAGCCTGACTGCCCTTGCCCTGGACTTTGATCGCGGGTTTGCGAACAAGGAGACGTTCGCCGAGTTGGTGGGTGTTCAATTTCTACTGCAACTCTCGCAAGACCTGACGTGCTCGCCCGTCTCACAGTGGGCCCGGCTGCCCGCGCTCGAGTTTGTGGACGTCCAGGTGCACGGTGCGGCGGTCCTTACGCCGAACCAGTTCATCCGTGGTGCCCGTAACCTGCGAATCGTATCCTTCCAAGACCGTTTCTATGATGTGGAGAGGCACGATGGCGAGCTGCGTGTGGTGATGCCACCGTGGCCCTCGAAAAAGGTGCACTTCCGAATGGTAGAAGACTTCGGGTGCGCGGATTGGGAGTGGTTGATGCGACAGTACACGTTCTTCGACTACATGCCGGCGCATTTCTGAGACCTTGAACACTGCCTTTGTGCCATCTCAGAAAGCTGCAGTCTGTAACTTACCGTAATCAGATTTGAAGCTGATCCCGGCGGGGAAAGGCCTGGACCCGAACAGCGTGCTCGTTCGTCTTGGCGACTGACCTGACCTGGCAGGGGCCAAACCGGAAACACTTGGCGAGTGGCAGACTGATGCGCCCGCTCCGCGCTCGCTGCGGAGCGGTTACCATGAGGGGCTCAGATCATGATCTGAGGGCATAAGTAACGTCCTCTCCAAGGGTCCATCAGTGATCATAGAATCCCGTCTTCTTCTTTCTTTTCTTTCTTTGCAATTGCTTTTTAGCCTGCTACGGTGCCGCTGCTCATCGTCGCCAGGATGGAGCAAACCCTCATGAACGCCGTCGATCCCTTCTCGCACGTCTCGGGAGGATTCTGGTCTCAGCTCATCAACGCGGTCACTGCTACTGCTGTTATCCGCTGCTGGCCGCTCCTACTGTTCTTCACTGGCTGGGCAACCGCAATCTCGGTCATCTGCCGCTTCGTACACAATATTGGCATTTCGAGCACGCTGTTGACTGTGTGAGTGGTTACCTTAGACCTGCTTTCTCGGGGTGGAGGTGTGGGGAAGGAAGGTGGTGTGGGAGTCAAGCGTAACGCGAGGTTCACGGTGTGTCCACTGCGTCCACGACGTATGATGTATACCCGTCTCATGCACGCATGAAAACTACTGTCGCCACTTGCAAGGTCTGCGGCAGCGGACAGGACCTTCGCGGATTGACTAGGACTTCCGAAATGAAGGGGGCGGGCGGCAGTTTGGCAGCAACGTGCGCCTGTCTGGTCCTGTCAGCCGGGGTCAAATTCCTGGCACTGGAAGCCGTTGGCGTTGTCTGTGTCCGCGATCGTCTGCGTTCATTGCCCCACAAACGAGTGAGGGACTCGCAGGAAATAACCTTTCACAGGTTTCATCTTGCATGGGCTGTCTCGCGATCGCGCAGGCGCCTATGAAGCGCTGCTTTAATGCGCCCAAAGCTTTCAATTTCAGTGGCATGATTGAGGCGGCGACGAAGGCTTTTGTTGGCGTGGACGTGTCCGAATCTTCACAAATCGTCTGCGTATGTGCGTTGACATACCAGGAAGGGGGCTAATGACCGATATGTGTGGTCAAATTGTGACAGGAGTAGAGCAGCTGCTGTGCATCCTTCACATCGGTCGACGATGCATCACACTTTCTTGCACTGCCTATGCATCCTGTGATCAGTGACTAATTATTGCTATTATCTAGCATCGGTACCGTCCTCGGTTTCGTCGTATCGTACCGGACCACTTCCAGTTTCGAACGATACAATGAAGGCCGAAGGCTCTGGTCGCAAATTGTGCTCGCCAGCCGGACATTCTCCCGGACGATCTGGTTCCACGTCCCGGAAGTGATGCCTGTCGCGGCGAACGACCAGTCTACGCTCGAGCAACGCAAGGAGCGCGTGCTCATCGAGAAGAAGACCGCGATCAACCTTATTGAGGCGTTCGCCGTCGCAGTGAAGCACTACCTGCGCGGCGAGGAGGGCGTGTACTACGTCGACCTTTACCATCTCGTCAAGTTCCTGCCTTCGTACGCATTGCCCGCGGGTCTGCCTTCTAACATCGACCTCGTGGATACGATGAGCGCTCAGAGCGCCCATGGCGATGGGACCACACGCCCTCGCAGGCCGTCAGATGTGCGGTCCGCCCGCAGCATGCAGTCCCCAACGAGTCCCATATCGACAGCCCCGCCGATGCCCATCGTGGGCGAGGGCCAACTTCCCCTCCCGGCGACGTCCCCCCGGCGTACGACGTTTGCGAATGGCTTGAAGCCTTCTATGGAGAGGGATCGTGGTGACAAGGACGAGAAGACGTCGACGATGAACGGAGTTGACGAAGGCTTCCTGTTGCCGGCGCGGATCCCGCCCCGGTATCACCTCCTGGACCTTTGGCCTCTATCGTTGATCGTGCATCTACTCGCTAAGAGAGGCAAGGATGTCAAGGTATGTGTTTTAGCTTGGGATTATGGTGATATACTCACATGGAATCATACAGGGAAGGACTGCTGCGCGCATCCGTGCCAAGTTGCGGAGCAAGACTGTTACCCACAATCTCCCACTCGAGGTCTCGTTCTACATGGTCAGAATTCCTCCTCGTATACGTCTGAACACGAGCTGATTAGTTGTGCCACCAGAGCTCGTACGTAGCGGCACTTCAGTCTCGCAAAGTTGTTGACCCGCCCACGGCCAGTATGTGTCTTGCGTTGTTCTGTATGCATGATAGGAGCTGACCGGTTCCACTCCAGCTGCCCTTATCGCATCCTTGAACCAGCTCGTGGACGCGCTTACTGGTCTAGAGCGTATTCTCACTACGCCCATCCCGTTCTCGTGAGTTGCCTGTCTCATCTTAGATCGACCGAACCTTGACATGCTGTTCGCAGGTATCGTGTTCATCTGTGGACGGTCACGCTCCTCTACAACTTCTTCCTTCCCTTCCAGATCTGGGATACACTGGGCTGGCTCACGATCCCCGCCACTGCGTTGCTAGTGCGTCTCGCTTGCGAACTCAACCCTTTCACTGTTGCTGATATTCGTGCAGAGCTTCATCTTCTTTGGCTTCCTCGTGGCTGGTGAGGAGATCGAGAGTAAGTCGAGTCCCGAATGTACACACCTCACGTTGACTCATAACCACCACCCATAGACCCGTTCGGTTATGACAAGAACGACCTGGTACGTTGTCTCAACAACCGACATTGCATATCATGACTGATCTGCGCCCTCCAGAACATGGACCACTTCACGCACAACATCATCCGCAGCGAGCTCCACGCGTTGACTGCACAGCCCATACCCGACCCATCTATCTGGGTGTTCTCGCCCTACAACGACATGGTCGTCGGCTCCAAGGAGTCCGAGCGCGTCTCACCCGACGAGTGGATGCAGCGCGGCCTCCCGCGCTTCCAGATGGCGCTCTCTGAGAGCATTTAGGATGTCCCCAATCGTAAATGTCTGCTATGTTGCCACATAGCATCTGGTGACCGACAGTGGGATAGTAGGTATTGTTTGTCTGTTTGTCTGTCTTGGCTGTTGTAGATGTCGGACAGGGCTAGCATTACCAACACGCATGGCTTTCACTCGCATCGGGTAGACGCATGTTTCCACTCTCCTCACTGTCTCTTTGTCATAAAATATTGCATTGCTTTCCTCGCTTCACATACATTAACCCCCTCCCCCGCATTATCTTGTCATTCACGCATCGCACACGTCGCATAGCATATTCCGACATTCACGTATTTATGATAGATGTTCGAGCTTTAGTATATTCTCGGAGCGGCTGGCTGCATGGACTGTCTTTACGTTTACGGAGGGCGGTCTGGCTACTGTTGCTTTCGTCATGTGGATATTATGTTGCAATAGCATTTGTTGTTGCATGATGTGGGGCCGTCGTGCCACGTATGGTGCATTAGGATGCATCTTGTGAAACTGTCTTCCGTTTCGTGGGGCTGTCGAACTTTGTGGTTGGCCACGGTGCAGGTGGACGAACGGCGTACCGACGTCAATTTCAGCAACCGTGACGAGGAAGGAATGAAGACCCAGAAGAGATCATCACCGAAGACGATACCCACTCTGTCATATTGGGAGATCTAGTACTGTGAGCGTCATGCGCAGCCCTCGCAGAGAGCTGTGCAACATAACTGGAATGGCTTTTGTCACCTTCGAGACCTACACCTTCTAAGTTACTACAAATTACGACTATTGCCGCTGCGAGCTCTATTATTCGTCAACCTCGCGACAGGGCGCTGGCATTTGAAGCCAGGCAATGGTCTCTCTCATCTCTAGACTTTTGCCTTGAGCGACCAACCCGCCTTCGCAACGCGGGCCGCCAGCAGGAGTGCTCCCGCTGCCAAGACGGCCACGCCATTGAACACGATACCCTTCCAGAACTCGCCCGTCCGCAGATCCACGAGCACACCCGCCACGGGGTTACCAATGAGGAGCCCGAAGCCCGCAAGGGCGAACGCCATGCCCAGTCGCGCGCCGAGCCGGGAGTGGTCGTCCGTGAGGCTCGCGACTGCCGCGGGCGGGAGGCTCACGAGCGAGCCCGAGAACAGGCCGTACAGCACGCAGAACACCACGAAGCCTCCGACGGTGTGCACTGCGAGCCAGGAGAGCGCGAGGATGCCCGTCGCCGTCGCGCAGCCCGCGAGCATCGTGAGAGGGCCCGTCTTGTCCGCGAGGAAGTTCGGGAGCAGCCGCCCGAGCGTCGAGGCGGCGCTGAGGATAGCCAGGAAGTAGAAGGCGAGCGTCGGCGAGGCGGAAGTGCGGGCTGCGGCGAAGGCGGGTGCCTCGAAGAACGGGATGTACGTGCCCATGAATGAGATTGCGTTTCCGATGCAGAAGAGCGTGTAGGGCAGCTCTGCAAAGGCCTTCGCGTCGAAGAGCCGCCGTCGCCCCGAAGGCGCGATGCGGCGCTGCATCACTGCGATGGATACGGCGGATGTAGCAAGTACAATGAACCCCATCACGCGCACGGTCCAAGGGAATCCAATCCTTGGCTGGAGCTGGTGGAACACGCTGAGGTAGACGACCGATCCGATAGAGCTCCCGGACGTTGTGATCCCTACTGCCAATCCGCGCCTTTTGTTGAAGTAAGTTGACACGATGGCGACGCCAGGAACGAAGACGCATCCGCTTCCAAGACCGAATGTGACCCCTAGGGCCAGAAATGCCTGTGGCAAGGGACACATTCGTAAATTATTGCAGCGTTCAGCCTTACAGCAAGCTCTCACCTCGTAGTATTGTGTGGAGAGACTGGTCATCATCAGACTGAATACCATCAGAAATGACCCGACAATCATGAGCACTCGGGTGTAGCCCATGTCAAAGATGGGTCCTGTCAGGGAACCAACGAGTAGTAGCAGGAAGCCCTGTATGGAGCCTATCCAGCTGATGGCTGAGGCAGAACTGGAGGGAAACAGCTCTTGCTCGTAGTAGGTCTGGAATGCTCCATATGTATTGAATATACCCCTAGGCATGTTTGAAGAATTAGTATTGACAACGAACAAGACTTTGTATACACACCATGAGTTGAAAAGGATGAAGAAACCGCCGAGGACCTGTAGCCAGGCCCTCGCGCCCCCGTCGGGTGCAGCGCTAGCAGAGAGGGCGGCGGGTTGCTGGGCGAGACTTTGTGAGTCGTCATGGCTTTTGGGGGCCTTCTCGGAGTCGCGCCGCCCTGCACTGGGGGATGTCATGAGGCGAACGTACGCTGAACGCGGTAGCCAAACCGGAGTCCTCGCGAGGTCGCGTTTCTCTACAAAGGGCCCCCGTCCGAGTCAGCGAAAGGTTTTGTGAGGCAGAAATCTCTATTGCACCCACCTTGGTTGAGTACATGACTCCACCGTCTGCTAGCGCTGTTGAGGACAGAAATCCGATTCGGACTGTATCGGCGATCACAGACGCTCGCTATTAGCCCCGTGCCGAAGAAGTACAGTACAAAGAGACGAATATGAGAGGCTGATACTAATAGAGGATGACGACATACGGCGGCAGGCTGAAGTGAAACCTTACTACTATACGGGTTTCATTCGGGGTTAGTCACGGTCATGTCAGCAGGTTGCAGTATTACTTAACGACCTGAAGCCCGTCCCTATAGAGTCGAATAGTTCCGCTACGTCCGTTTCATGGACGATCTTGCATGCAAATGGATTGTACCACTTACGCGATGCGCGGTCGTCGATCTACAGATGGCGGCGTAACGTCTGTAGCGCCCCTGAGTGATCGACGTTCAAGTTAGCCGCCAGCTTGAACATCATCCGCGCTACTCTGTTACAGACATGGACCGCTTCGGAGAGATGCCAAAATCTACATACGTGCTCGAACACGTTGACTGTACATTGTATTATGATAACATAGCCAATCACCTGTGATTCGTAAACTCTGCACAAGCATGAAACATGATCAGTAATAATCGCGCTCGTCCACTAGCGCATGGCCCCGCATCAGCCACTCCCAATCTTCACACTCGAAGTCCTCGGTCGTTCGGAACTGGACCTTGGTGAGAGGCCAAGGTTTGCTGAGCTCGACCTCATCGCCCGTGCGAACCACCTGACATAGGCACGATCGACGGCCTACAAGTCTCAGAGACTTGTTGGCAACCACGATGTCGGACAACTCTACGATCGGCAGGCTTGCGTCGTCGACAATGTGCGCGAAGGCCAGCTTCGGGAGGGTGGCCCACTGGAAAGGGACATCACGATGAGTTTCCTAGATGTTTTGGGAACTGCGAAGAAATCCGACATACCAGTCCATCCCACGCGTTGTCTTCGGGGTCCAGCTCGATGTATCCGAACCAGAGACGTAGGGCCTTTAACCCGTGAGGGATTGTGCCTCTCAGCAAATCACACATTGTCCGCCCGATATCGTGCAACCACATATACAGCCCTAGAACCTCCAGGCCTGATAGCGATTGAATGGCAAACAAGAGAGGAGATAGTTCTTGAAGAGTGCTGCCCTCGTCGTCATAATCCAGACACCGCAGTTTCTTCTTCGTCCGAATGAAGCCTCCCAACGACTCAAGCTCCGCGGCAACGACGGGACACATCAGCTGAAGCTTGAGGTGCGTAAGATGAGGGAGTGCAGAGGGATGTGCCGCTAGAGCGATATAGAATTCCGTAGGCGAGTCAAAACGGGAGACGATGTGCAGAGCCTGGAGTTGGGTGCAATGATGGAAGAGCAGTGTGATATTGCTGAGATCACCACCGTTCTCAATCGTCAGATGAGTCAAATCCTGCAGGATGTGGATCGGACATTCCCAAATCGCCTGGCTCGGTGCGGTGAGCTGCGTCAGAGACCCTCTGCGAGATTCAAGCAATGATGGACAGGACGTGCGGTACTCCTCGTATGGATCCGGCTCCATTTCAAAGGACTCGTCCAGATTGTATATGCAGAGGCTCGATGCTGGTAGTCTCTTGAGAGCGCTCAACGCACCCAAACATTGGATTCTAATGCAGGTTCATGAGAACGATGGCGCACGCAGCGGCAAGGGACTCGAGGCATAACCTACGGCAAGGTGTACTCGCGAAGATTGACAGCGGTCGACGCCAGTGCCATCAGGATGTTGTCACCAGGTAAGAAGTGCGGCCGGAAGGTGGTGTACCACTTGAATGTCCGCAAATTGTGCATAATGCTGATAGCATTGGTCAGGCCGCCTGATCCCAACGTCAGTCGGAGACAAAGGCTTGGACACCACGAGAAGCGACAACGTAACTCACATATCTCGAAGGTCGCGACGTCCGCGAATGCAAGTACGTGCAGTTCTTTGACAAAAGACGCGAACACAGGATCGGTGATGACGCGCAGTAGTATGCAACACGACTTGCACCCGCGGTCTCCTTCAGGAGGTTCCTTTGTAAAGCCATAACCGACCTCCCAGCACCCAAAGTGTATACGGAGCGTGGAGAACAGTATGCGAGCGGCGAGATCATGAAAGAACCTAGACACAGCCAGGCATTCTCGGGTCGTGGCGGAGGGTGTCTGACTCAAAACAATCTGCCATAGTTCTGGCGGAAGACGTTCAGACCATGGACGGTCTGCCTCCATGCCGCTGTGAAGGTCGTCAGTACTGCCAGGTCCGACAACATGTAGTCTACTTTTCGACGCGCTCCCTTGTCGACAGGTCGGTATTTTCAACCGCAGTCTCAATGTGCGCTGTGGAATGCAGGCGGAGCCTCAAGTGCGTGGCTGAGCTTGTGGCGGGTGGCCCTGCGTCTGCAGCGGAAGCGGCAACAATACATTGCTTCAGTCGCGCACTGGGTCACCGTCTTCTGCATTGCTCCTCCTCAGCTCAAGGATAGCGACTTACACCGCTATCTACACGGGAAGATGCCGTTCAGCTAAGGGTTCGAACGTTCATCCCTTGATCGCGACGAGTAACGATTCAAATATTCAACGGTCTGTACCTCGCCGCCCGTCTGCGACCTAATGCTCTTTACAGTCTACATAGTTCATCAAGCGGGCTTGGTATGTATCGACGTAACTGGAACACCGCGTTTGGGTCCGCCGTTCGTTTTGTCCTTCATATATTCCCCGAGCCTGTGGCCCTTTCCACCCGCACTTTCTCGCCTGCACCCACTGGCATGTTCTCGTGCGGGATCTTACTCTCGGCATGCCCATTTACATATCGCTTGCCTCGGTATGTGTCTGCCCTCTGGCACACCTGTTACTAGCTAACTCATCCCGAGATCAGTTGCTGGACCGACAGAAGCCGGTACCTCCTGGCGCTGTGCAGCTCTAGCGACACGCTGCCCGGCCACGCGGAATCGGCTGTCACAGTGTAAGGTGAGCTTTAGGGACAAGATGACAATGATCGGGATGTGCACGGGTGAAGCCTAGGAGGGAAATGCCAAGGAAGAACGGATGGTGAAGGTAAGTACAGCAAATTTGAAGCTTCTATGTCGAAGTATGCTCCTGCTCACGACCGTTAACCCGCAAACTCATCTGTCTGCCCGCACGCGCGTCCACTCGCCCGTTCATATGCCCGTCCGCCAATCCACATGCCGCTCTCCCGCACGTTCGCCCGCTCGCCCATACCCTTGCTTACCTATCCTTGTGCCAGTGCTCAGCCGCTTGGACGCCCACTCGCCCGCGTGCTTGGTTGCCCGTGCGTTCGTGCACTGGCTTACTCGCGCGCACGCCCGCTCATCTGCCCGTGCTCTCGCTCATCTACTGCAAATGTATCCCCCGACTCGTTCGCCTACGCACTCGCTTGTCTGACACAGTGACAGCCCGCCTACTGTGCCACCTGCCTGCCTGCCCATCTGACCGATCACTCCCCTACTCCGGCGCTGCCAACTCAGTCGTATGTGTGCCTGCATATCCGCGTGTCCACGTCTCCGCCTGCGCTCTCACTAAGCCACTCATAGGGCTGAGACGATGACGTCCGTCAATCGCCTCGCTCAACCGCGTCTGCACTCTCGACCCCCGTCCTCGCTGCCAGTGCACTACTCACTGTGACAACCTGCCATGAACCACCTCTACGCCTGCTTAGCTACACCCACACTCTGCTGCACTCGCCCCGTCGATACCCATGTCGAGCATTAAGAAAATCTTCCACCGCGCCCGTGAATCCATATCCTCGAAGGGCTCTATCCGCGCCAAGTCCCCCGACTCATCGGGTGTCTTCAGGCCGAATACCAATGGTCATGCGCATCCTCTCTTCAATGGTAACGGAAAGCCAATGGTGCGCTTATGACCCCAGAGGTTGATGACAGAAGGAAACAGCCGCGCAACGTCAACAAGAATAGTCGGAGATTCCGTTGAAACAGCCTTCATCGGAAGGGAGCAGGAGACTGTCGTTCAGGAGAAAGTCAATCGAGCGCAGGAACGCGAGAAACACGACGAGCAGGAGGAGACGGAGTGCAAGGAACACAGAAAACGCTTGCACGATGAGGTGCGCCCCGACGCGCTGCAGCAGCTGATTAATTATATCAGGGCCCGTTGCGCAATAACTACGGCGAACTCCCGCTGAACATGTCCCAGGTCGAGCTCCGTACGTCCATTTCCTCAGGCTTGCAGTCTGTATGCGCAGGGATATATCGCTGGCTTGTCTTTTTTTGCTACGTTCAATGTACCCGCTCGGTGCTGTCGATGTCACCAACACATAATAAAAATTGAGGTGGCTGCAGAGAGTGTGAATATGGCTACACCGCGGACTGCATAGTAGGACATGTAATATTACGATACACATAATGACGGGGACGCGCACTGGACGCGTCAGAGCAGGTCAGAGCGCGTTGTGCCGGTGTGTTTGCACAAACTCGTGACATGCCGAGCGGCTGATGGCGAGTGAAACCGACCTCCAGACAATAGGGGGGTATCAAAAGCAGACGTTAGACAAGAATATCCGGAGCGCGCGCAGGTTGAAAGAATTGTCTACTCTGCCCACGGGAGACTAACAACATGCCGCACCGAAACGACGATGAGTCTCATACCGTATCGGATGCTCGCACTCTGTGATGCACGCTTGATTCTTTCGAACTGACCTTCCAGTTTCCTTCTGCCAGTATAATTCTTGAGAATCGACTCAGACTCAAATCCAAAGGGGTGCGGGTTGGCCAAGGGTTGGCGATCCGCGAAGTTGAGAGGTCAACGACAAGGCAAGTCTATAATAGGCAAGTCTATGCAACTGACCTCCTCCTTGGCATTTCGAACTCCGCAGAGGCGGCTGTGGCGCGACCCCTTACTTCCTCCTCCTCCTCCTCCTCCTCCTCCTGTTGCTGCTGCTGCCGCTGCTGCTGTCGCACCACCAACGATCGAGCCATCAACGGGAAGATTGCACACCAGTCACCGCTTAGTACTTAGCACTTGCCATGCAGTTTTCTCGGCCACCGGAATTTCCACGCCGGCGGGCTACTAGATTCGGCGGGTCATAACAGCACTATATTCTCACTATGGCATATCTTCGACTCCTCCGAAGCTTGTCTACCGCACAGGGGGCTTGAAGACGCCCTGGGTCAAGCTTACGGGATTAGAGGCCTATTGCAAGTCCGAGCAGGCGCGTGGGGTCTTCGGCCACAAGCTCAACCTCGCCTGGTGGCAGTGGAAGACCGTGGGTCCTCTGGTTCGGGACCTGCTGAATACCCAGAGGCTCGCTTGGACGTCCTTAGACGTCGTTCGTTTCCTCACCGACGGAGACAGACCTAGACAGACATGAGAAGATTCGCGGTTCTGTTGTGATCTGGGTGGGTGTTCGTCCCGATTCGCTCCACGCTGAGGATGCCTTCCATTCGGCCAACGATATCCTTCGGCTTCTCGAGGGCTTCGACATCGTCAACGTTGAGGTCGAATACCGCGAGTCCCTCTACAAGCGGTCGGTCGGCCCAGCACTTCTCCGCTCCGTTTTGAGTCTCAACACTACCGTCGACGGTCGCGGTCCCCTCACTCCCGCTCTCGGACCCATCGCTACCTTTGAAAGGCCCGACGCCGAGGGCACCATGGGGCTCTACTTCGCTGAGGGTGGTGACAGCAACAAGGTATTGGGTCTTACCTGTCACCACGTCCTCCTCAAGACGGACGCGACAACCATCGACGACTACGTATTCTCGGGCGTCGGTGCACCTCGCAAGAACGTCCAGCTTCTCGGCACTCGCGCCTTCGACAAGCTTCTCAGTGCCATCAAGACGCGTATCAGTCGTCACGGTATGATGGTCGGTCACCACGAGCAGCAGATCAAGAGGCTGGAGGCGAGGGTGGATGATGCCTACGAGGAAGATGTTGCAGAGGCGGGGAAGAAGCTGGAGAAGACTCAGGCCCAGTTGGAGGACGCGAACAAGGCGATTGAGGACCTTGAAAAGTTCTACGAGACGGTCAAGGAGGACTGGGGCCAGGCCAGCCAGCGCATCATCGGCCACATCCGCTCCTCCCCTGCCGTCTCCTTCAATGTCGGTCCCAAGGGCTTCACCGAAGACTGGCGCGCGATCGAGCTCGACGGTCCCAAGTTCAGGGATGCGTTCAAGGGCAACTTCATTGATCTTGGTGCATTCCGACGTCTCTTAGTTCAGGTCGTTTAGTTCAACAGATACAATCAGGGACGGAGATCGAGCCCGACATTTTCATCATGAAAATGTATCCCCACGGCGGCCATACGACCTTCAAATACCCCTACAACCGTCTCCTTCCACTCCGCGACATGATCACCGAGGAGCGTATGCGCGAGCCCGACACGCTCGACAACGAAAACGAGGCCTGTTCCCTCGTCATCAAGAACGGGGCCGCTACTGGTGTCACCATCGGGCGTGCGACGGGACTCTTCTCGTTCGTCCGCGACGACGTCTTCGGTCACGAATCCATGGAGTGGGCTATCTATAACTACGGCGACCAGTACTCTGGCGTGTTCGCGGCCCCTGGCGACTCCGGGTCGATCATCGTCGACGGACTTGGTCGCATTGGTGGTCTTCTTACTGGCGGTACCGGCAAGACCGACACCTCGGACGTGACTTATGCCACGCCCATGTGGTGGCTCTGGCCCCGTATCAAGCAGCACTTCCCCCACGCCCACCTCGACCCCCTCATCATGACCTAGGCGTCGCGACGACAAGAGCGGCATCGCTGACAGCGGCGAGCCCTTCTCACTTCATCTTTGAACGATCGGACCATGACTCACAAGTTGACTTGTTCCATAGAGTCCATACATAAGTACTGCCCCTACTATCCTACGCTACGCTACTGCATACTTACAATAAAGTACTGTACACCATACAACAGCATTGAAAGCATGTAACATGAAGTGGCATGTTTCCAACGATAAACTTTCCTACACTTCCAACAAGTCCGCTGCAAAGCGGTCCAAGGTGTACACCTCGAATCTGCTGCTGTACGCGCCTTCTCCAAACTCGCGCATCCACGCGTTGCTCAGCCCGCCTTCCCAAGCGTACAGCTCCACTCGCCACCCCTTCTTCAGCGCCGTCCGCACGCACCCGAGGAACCCCTCCTCGTTGAACTGCCCGACGTTCCCATCTCCGGTCGCGAGCACGATAGTGCCGCCGAGAGGGACCTCGTCAACATCTGCGATGGCCTGAAGCAATTTAAGCTGTAGGAGCTCGTCGACGCCCTGCTCGCGATATCGTACGCGTGCAGACGCCCCTGCCCCATTGCCGTTGCTATTCCCGTTCCCGTTCGGCTCTGATTCGGTCGACGTCCCACCGCCGCCAATCGAGCTCTTATGTGAGTGGCTCCGCGCGTGCGCCGCACCAGAGCGGCGCCCACGGCCGCGGCCGGGGCTCTGCGTCTCACTCTGGTGCTGGCGGTCAGCCCCGTCGCCCATGTCCGGGACGCGCGCGTACACGCGGACTTCGTAGCCCAGCTGTTCCGCGGTGTCGACCGGCTGATAGAGTGGCGACGACGCCACTAGGACCCGCCGCGTGATGGGGCGCCCGCGCTCGAGGATGAGCGCGAGCGCGGCGTGCGAGAGATGTTTACTGCGGCTGCGCGCGAAGTGGTGCAGGTGCCGCCGCAGGTAGGATAGGAATCCAATGAGAATATTAGAGCTGCTGGAGGGTCAGCGACAAGCGGCCACGGAGATGAGTTACGCACTGGTCAATGAAGACGTGGATGAGGGTGTCTTGAGAGCCCGGCTCGGGGCCCCGGGTATCGACGAAGCCAGATTCTTCGGTCCCGCTCGTCGTCGTCTCCGGGTCGAGTATGTCGTGCAGCGCGGCCGCGTCCTTCGGAAGAATAGCCTGAGCTTGTGCGCGAGGTTCCGCAGGTGTAGGACGCGTGCGTCTATGGGTAATGATACAGGGGGTATAAGATTCGGGGTAGACTTGCTGTGGAGGAGTCGTGGCTTCTCGCGGGCGACTTGCGCGATCGTGCGCTGCCTCCGTTCTGGCCTGGTCCGCGCCGGGGTGGCTGCGATCCGTATGGCAGCTGACGGGGAGGATGTGGCATCGACGGATGAGGACGACGCATACGCTTCGTCGCCGCCATCATCACCGACATCGTCAACTCCTGCCGTCGTCGTCGTCTCCGTGAAAGAATCTAGGTCGCGCTCAGATGCGCGGACCAGAGAGACTCCCTCGGACCGATTTCTCTTGCGGCGCCGCTTGCGACGCGGCTGGATAACGTGTCGGAAAATGCTGTCCGACGTCGTCGTAGTGGAACTAGTGTTTCCAGTCGTCCTCAATCCCTTCTCGCGCTGCGCAAACAGGCGCGCACGTTCAGCAGCGAGGAAACCGAGCGCCTCGTCTAGGTCTCCTAGGGATGGCTGATCGATGAGCTCTGCTACTTCCGCTTCTGCTCGGAGTAGGTCTGTCCGGTCCAGGTCAGATGCCGTGGATTCGGAGTCAGACCGTAAGGGCGAGCGTCCGCGACGAGGACTGTCTGGTGAGGAATAAGATAGGTATTCGTTGACTGGGTGGCGAGACCATGCGGTGGAGGCCGACGGGGCCTCGGAGTCGTCTTCGGTGGGCGAGAAAGCGAGAGGCGAAATAGGTGTTCCAGTGTTTACATCGTTGAGCAATGGAGGTGCATTGCGTGGTTGTAAGGTCGTGAGTGCACGGAATACAGTTGTGAAGGCACCGAGATCTGGTGCATCTGTATACATGCATGGTCAGCGTTACATTCGGTATGGGCATCATGTACCGCCTCCTGCGTATACTCGCGAAGTCTCCATGATTACTGCGCTTGGTAGACATTAAGACAGTTTGCCCCTGCTCACCGAAGGACCACCAAGTAGATATCACCTCCTCCGCAGCTCTGGTGGCCACACCAAATGAACCAAGTACTCACCGTCGGACGTGACCCCACTAACCTCCGAGTACGACGAGAAAGGACTGAAGGGCGTCGGTGAAACCGTGGAATCAGAGACGGAGTGGGTCATTATACAATATGAGATAAACAATCAGTCGATGGTCGTTAGAAGCGAGAGGACGAAAGAGAACATGTACAAGTCGTGCATGAGGAATGCGGAAAGCGAGGTTAGGCAGGATTCGGGAGTAGTTCGCAGAAAGGTACCCAGAAAAGGAAAGCTTAGCTTACTAAGCGGATAGGTTCACGTCTCCTCACTCCGCCTTCCTCCTCATCCTCGCCGTCTGTTGGGTCGATACTACCAAGTACTGTCAGCTACTGCCAGCCTCTGACAGCCTCGTTGTTGAGTGACGGGAGCACGTCAAAACTGGTTCGAACAAAATCGTGCTTGTAGTGAAACAGGGAAGAAAGAGAGCGCAACTTGACTGGTACGGGCATCTTTCATCACGGTATGAATCACTATGAAAGACTACCCGAGAGCCAGCTACTGACATGCTCAAGTTGTCCGTCCTCCAGACATTAGACGACAGAATGGAGGCAGAGAATTCTTGGCCGAAACGTCTTCCGCTAGAAATATGGCAGATTGTTCTCAGTCAAACATCCCCCGCCACAACCCGAAAATGCCTGGCTGTCTCCAGGCTTTTCCATGATCTCGCTGCTCGCATTGTCTTTTCGACGCTACGTATACAGTTCGGGTGCTGGGAAGCCAGCTATGACTTGTTGGACGAGCCGTTTGAAGGAGACCGCGGATGCAGGTCATGTTGTGTGCTGCTGCACACCATCACCGACCCTGTGTTTGCGTCTTACGTCAAGCATTTACACATATATGCGTTCGCGGACAAATTCACGACCTCCGAAATGTGTAAGCTACAATCTTGCATTTTGCTTGTGAGGTGCAAAGGTCTTGTTTCTGACTGAGGTTGTCATTAGGCGGCGTAACGAAAGCAATCGGCACTCTGTCCAATTTACGTACACTGAGATGGTATACCAACCATCGGTCGTGCATTTTACCTAGCGACGAGCTCCTGGAGGCACTGGCGGCGACGGCTGTATGTCTCCGCGAATACCAACTGCCGTGAGTAATTGTGCACCCTGCTGCTACATGTGCAGTCCCTCTCATGAAGCACTTATAGGATTCAGTGCTTGAGTGCGCTGCCGGCTCTTAAGAGATTACCAGCATCAAGTCTTTGTTTGTATTTTCCGGAGCAATATTCTTTGGAAGAGGAGCTGCACTGGCCATGCGACGTATACCGCTCGTCCTTCGCATCACTACTTGAGGCCCGCAGAGGTTCTCTAACGCAGCTTACCGCACCAAACCAGGCGGTCTGGGAATGCCCGCCACACATATTGCGGGGCCTGACTCATCTGACGATCGACGACGTCGGTCATTCTAGTAACCTCGATCTCATTTCCCCCCATTGCACTCGACTCGAGTCCCTGCAGATTATCCTTCACCTGGATTTTACTTCGGAGCTCTGTGTCGCTCTAGCAGCAAACCCCGCCGCGTTCCCTCATCTCACGTACCTCAAGCTACTCTCGGACGATTTTGTGGATGGCACGAGAGTCAATGCGGTGGCTAGCTTCATCCGACCGAAGACGAAGCTGCGGTGTCTGGATTTTAACGGCCAGTGCAGCACTGTTGAAGAACTATCTCCTGTCTTAGACGCTATTCGATCGCTATCAGACCTAGAAATCCTTGGTCTTGATGTTGGACTCGGGCGATTTGGACAGGAAACGATTGATTTGCTCAGATGTACAATTCCCAAAGGAGTTACCGCCCTACGTCTCGGGCTTGACTACGACGACCTGGCTGCACCAGGAGGTTACTCATGGGCCGAACTGGTATGTCGAGTTGCATCGTTGTCTCCACGAGAATCACATTAACAAGTCATGCTGCAGTGGGCAGGTCTACCGAAGTTGACTTTTGCCCACATCGGCGACGTCGAGACTCGTTCGGTCACATCGATACCGGACCTCGCTGATGCTATCGCCTCTTTGAGGCTCGTAGGGCATTGCTCGCGCTTCCACGAGGTGTATCGCGCGGACGATGGAGTCACGCTCGGCGAACCTTGGTCCGCTACAAAGGTGCAATTTCGAACGGTAGAGGACTTCGGGTCCAAAGACTGGGAATGGTTGATGCGAGGCCATTTTCTACCATAGACTAATTTCTGCGAGGGTGATGCTTGATTGGGTGTTAACGTCAAAGGGAGAAGCAAATGGTGCCTGGTATGCTGCGCATTGACTTTCAGTAGATGGTGGATTGGCTCTGTAGTGAAAGGATAGTATGCAACCAATGTGTCCGAGTTCGACAGCTGGCTCGAAATGATGGTGGAATCGTGCGCGCTGAAAGAACCTGTCACAGAAGTGTCAGCTGCCCTTCCCTCGGTTCGTTGTATCAGTCTCCCCAAGGCAGACGGAGGGAGGACGGTCTTCTATGGTCGTTGTATGGTGTCAGTGACGCTAGACTTGGCATATGCTTGGTGGAGATGGACGCCACTCACAACGCACATCGCGCCTCTGGACGTCGACGTTTGCTGTCGTTATGGCAGATCTCCACCGGAATGTACAGGGCATCATCCTCCGACAGGCCACAAACGGCAACTAGCACTACAATCAGGTCGTACAGCATACTAATCTACAGCGGCTAGTGGAATAACAGTCTACAAGAGAGGAACACCGGCGTAACAGCCATGCAGGGGTCGTGAACATAAGTGGTCAAGAATGTCAAGCCTCGTTGCGCGCTCTACGCACTGCCGTAGTTGTTCGGTCGACGCGGCGACGGCTTGAGAGGGATACCTTCGTCCAGACCCACCGCGCTGCGCACGTTGGTCGGGCCGTTGATCATGACGTCCTCCTCCCCGGCATCGAAGATGAGGTCCTCGCGCGCCCATCGCATCAGCATCCGCTCGCCGACGCGCGAGTGCATCAGCCACGGGTGGGTCTTCATGTACGACAGGGCGAACCTGCGCAGCCTCGCAGGTGGGCGCTGCACCAGGTACGTGACAACGATGACAACGAGGCTATCCGGGTCCAAACCGGTGAGCAACGACGGCTGCTTGTGAGAAGGAAGACAGGTACGCACGCGGATGAGGCGAAGATGGTCATGATTGACCGCCGAGTCTGCCCGTAAAGGAAGTCGGGGTCGAGTATCTTCTTGTCGCCGGGGACATCGTCGTCCTCCGAATCCTTGGGCGGCTCGTCAGAACCGGGGTTGTGCTTTGGCGGGGTCGGTGGAGGGGAGTCGTCGTCAGGTGCGGTCATCGCTTGGCCGCATGCGTGCTTGGTTCGCCACTCGAACGTATGGGTACCGTTCCAGTTCCAGTAGATGCTAGGTTTCGTAGGCTGCCAGGCGACGTTGTGAGCGATTGGACGATCTGTGTGATGCGGTGCAAGCTCACCTCTTCTGCCTGGTGGTCACAGATGAACTGAAAGTCTGCCTTCTGTTGTTTGTAGACGTAGTACCCGCCGTGAAGATGGATGTGCAGAATGTCTGGGATTCATGATCATGTTCGAATCAATGACGCGAAGCACGTAGATACGAAAGCAGCTTACCGTGTCGCGTGTTCTCATCCGCAGGCACAAGCTTCGCAGTGACATTCAAGCCTGGCTGATATTCTTCGCCAGCAAAGCCATCGCCTCCATCGTCCTTCTTAGGAAGAGAGCCAGAGATGTCACCGGCAACTGGGATCACTTGCAAGACTCGAGGACTCTCCCCTTCGCGTTTTGGCCGGACGTTTGAAACTAGAGACCACAGGCTGCTTCAATCTCGAAGCTAAGAGCTTCTTCAACGGTATGCCTACTGATTTTGCAGACCCATGTCCCGTCAGGACACTGTGAAAGGGATCAGTGACGAGCTTCAAGAACGCGAGGAGGAGCGCTACGGTCGCAAAATGGTATGACAGGCCATCGCCTCCGAGGACGTGATCGCGCCGTCGGGAATCGCATCACCGATCTGGTGATCACGACGATTTTGTCGTCGGATCCCTTCTTGCTTCCAACCACCATCCGGAGGCTGCTCAGAAGTCCGAGCGGAACCACGGGACGCTGGCTGTTTCGGGACCAAGACCAAGCACGGCAGCTGACGTACCTGTTCATCATGGGGCGTCCACTTCGTCGTCTTCAGTGGACCTGCGAAGGAGATCCTGTACTCGGCTTTCGTCACTGTGGGCGGTGTCGACCGCTCAAACCCAACGGTCCAGCCTCCGTCATTTCCTTCGAACACCGGACACAAATCGAAGCGCCGATTGCCTAGAGTGAACTGACAGTGCCTCGTCAGGGCGTTCAGCGACTCTGCTGCCACGCCTGTCGATGCAGCCGACGCTAGAGAACCTAGGAGAGGAACAGCCAGAGCAAACGCTGGGCCGAGCATGATGGGTCGTCGCAAGTCGTCGAAACCCTCCCTGGGAGAGCTGCAGGCTCTAATTCGAGCAAAGGTAAGTCTAGCGGCTGATACCGCGGTGTGCTAGTCACGCTGTATCTCAGGCTGCTACAGCTTTATCATTGGCGGGCAGCCGTCTTCGCCGTAACCCACGCTGCCCACGTTACTGGCTGAGGGTGCGGCCGTGCAAGAAATGACATGTCTGTGTCCAAGCGGTGTGGTGAAATGCCTTTGCGAAGACGATGCGGAGGAGGAGGTGAGAAAGCTCGCCGACAGCGGTGCGCTGTATGAAGCGTCACCTGACCGTCTTCACGACACGCTATTGGCGGCGCGCTCATTCTTCCTCCCGCACTTAGAGATTGTTCTCACCTCCCGTCTCTTCCTCGTAACACCTCTCGACATCGATCCATCACTCCCTAAGCGGGAAGCGTGGCGTGTAGCCCTACTTCGTAATGTGCGCACGCTCATTGGCTGCGTGCACACCTTTCCTGCGTCAGATGCATCCTCGGAGGCCGTACTGCAGCGCTCTCGTTCGAGACTGGCGCCTCGAGCATCCTCCGCCATGTCCTAATTTGCGAAGTTGCCATTCACATCTGTGTATTCTACACACACAGGCTTTGGCTGCAACGACTTCACAATCGAAGTCGATGAGGCGCCTCTCGAAGTCAACCCTTTCCCGGAGCGTGTGTCCTATCACCTGCAGGTACGCGCATGTCGCGGAAGATATCATATATCATGCGCTCACATGCGAGCTGGACTGGAGAAAGAACTGTAAGTGACGGATCTCATATCACAACTCTTCAAACCTAATCGCACAGTCTTCGTGTCTATGACGTTGTACCTTCGCTTTACTGATTTCTTGCCTCACCGCTAACACGATAGAAATACACAGCTCTCGGTGATCGTTCAATATTCACCTGCAGAATCAGCGTCGATCGCACCTATGTCGAGGTGCTTCATCTCACCGAGCACTCAATGATCTGGGACCGGTCGCCCCACAAGCCTCGTGTTAGCCTTCCATGGCGGCGTGACCGTCCTTTACGTTCAATTACAACTAGTCCAGACGCTGTGTGTATATGGTGAGCTCTACTTCCGGGCCAAAGCATATTGCCCCCGGAGGACGTGCGCGCTATTCACCTTCTATCGCAGGTGCTGCAGAAGTACTAGTGGTACGGTAAGGCTCTGGTTTGGTGGAGTTTACGAGGGAATCACTCCCTGCGGGCAGTGTTATGCTCTTCACTAGCGGCAGCTGGTATCCCTGGATGGATAGTAAGCCAAGTATTCGCGAGGCTGTGATGTCCATCGGACTGCTCTTATCTAGAGCAAGATATCGAGGAGCTTCGGCGGATCATGCCAGGAAGACCTCATGTTACCATGATCGCCCCTCTTCGGAAGGGGTGAACTCACAGCCTCGAAGTGAAGGGGCATACATATATACCGGCAGGGGAGACACAGGTCACGTCGCCAAACCCACCATGGACCGTACTCCCACCCCCGACAACTTCAACACCATTGCCGAAGTTGACGCTGCAGTTGAAGATGTCCTGCAGCGCGGCATAACTGTGGATATCGTTTCGGACCTTACAAGCTTCGAGCAGCCATTCCTCAACCGGTCGGATGAGTTCTGTCGACTCCTGGCCATGAAGTACGTCTCCCGCCAGAACTCCGACGTGACGCGTGCGAAGAAGGAGCAATACGAGCGCAACCGAGCGAGGTTGCATATGGAGGATTCCTCGGCACTGCACTTCGAAGGTTTCAGGCGCGCGTTCGGGGAGATCAACACTGGGAGTGACAATGCGTTCGGCGAGGACCGAGTTCAGAGCTTCCTTGACTTGGGCTGCGCTCCAGGCGGATCCTCGACGTGGATCCTGCAGAACAACAGGAATGCTAGAGGAATAGGAATCACTTTGTCCCCGGACGCTGGAGGCCTCCGGCTACAACTTGACTCCCCATTTCTCGAGCAGCTCCAAGTCCGCTACGAAGATCTGTGCAAGATTGCGTCAGGAGGGGAAGCCATTGGTACGTCGGTCATCGAGCGGGGCATGCCGAATAACCCTTACTAACACCACCCCATAGAAGATACCCCGGCTACAGGCTTTGACCTCGTCGTTGCGCATGCCGCGATCATGTTCAGAGACGACGTCCGCTGGACTCAGTCCATCGCCCTGACATATGCCCAACTTCTGATCGCCTTCCAGCACATTGCGCAGGACGGATCTCTCGTCATCAGTCTCAGGTCGCGCCCATTAAACTGGGTCGTCGATATCGTTCGGGCCCTTGATGAGGCATTCACGTCGGTGCATGCTGTGAACACAATGTATCAGGGAAGAAGACCCTTCGTCAATGTCGTGTGCAGGGGATTCCGCGCGGGCACGGATGAGAGAAATGAGTACATCCGCCGCCTCCGTCTGTGTGTCAGGTACTTCGAGACTACCAGTGGGTCCCTCGTCTTTGACACAAGCGTGAGATTGGATCGACATGCTAACGTATGTTTGGTGGTAGCCGGGCCCGTCGACGCACCGAACGGTGGCGCGGCGAATATCCCTCGTCTGTGCGGCACGCGAGACGAAGAGATTCCGGAAGCGACATACCAGTATGTGTTGAACCTATTCACCGGCGTTTGGCAGAGCAAGTATGCTGCCATCCGCCACAATTGTCAAAAAGTGTTTGTGAGACGTAATGCAGATAGAGGCAGGCACAAACGCACTCGGGCCATGATGCAAGCCGCTGATAACTCATCGCATACAGTGATGAGCGCAGGCTCAGACGAGAACAATGGAAGTTACCGCACTGCTGGACAGCAGTTAGGTGCTGCCCGTGTGTTCGTAAGTGCCACCAACTGATTACAGTCTTGTACTAGACTTAGAAGTCATCGCAGACACCTACCGCGCAGCCCAACGGCGGCGGCTCATTGCATGGCGGAGCCGCCCCAGCGTGGAGTCGGCTGACAGCTATATCAGACGCCGTGACGAGAAGAATGCCGGTTACAACGCTCTCTTCAAGCGCGTTGGCGGCGTGGGTCGCGCCGCCGATCGCCCAGGCTCTGGAGGAAGTACTAAAGTCGAAAGCCTTGCCTGTTAACCTACTGGAAGTACTGGAACTGCTAGCTGTAAGTCGCGCAATCACTCACTAACCAGCAACACGCTGACCTGTATTGTTTCTTCTTGACTTTGTTGCATCTTAGTCGTAAGGTCCGACGCCACACGACAAAGTGCACTATATCTTCTTGCTTGCACATCTGTTGTTGTGCGGTGTACGGAGAGTACACTGTTGAACAGCTACCTTCTTGCTACGTACGGATACACGGCTCTTGTATCTCGCATACTGGAAGTCTACCGCTCAACGAAGGGTGTCCTAGATCCTGCCATGCACGTGTGTCGGTGCCAGTACTAGTACTAACAGCTGGTAAGTACTATAGCAGCACGGCCCCCTCGTGTTCGACGATACGTTGCAAGGTGCACACGTTTCCTTATTCCAATAGCACAAGCATCACGGATTGAAACCCGTCTCATCGACGAGACTTTGTCTGGTTGCCGTACTGTATGTATCATACTGACTACCGTCGCGCCGGAACCATCGCAGCGGAGAACAACTGGGAGGGAATCATCAAGGATCCCTACGCCGTCGCCGAGCGCTCTCTCAAGCCTCGTGTAAGTTAGGTTTCTCGTATCGATGTTGACCAGGCTTTCATCGACACAATCTAGATGTGCGGTAAACGCTTCAATCCCTCAAGCAACCTCTACCATTTCAGGGGTTGGTGATCCGACTACCTTCTATTGCAGGTACTGCGTGTGATAGAATGCCGAAATTTGGGATCCTGTGGTTTCTTGGAGGAGTATTCCGCCTGCGGACTGAGTCATGCTCTGTATAGAGGCGGATCCTCGCGAGACGTTCTTGAGACGTTCCTAGGCTAACTGAACGTGAGTGCCTGCCACTTCACTCCCCGCTATCCTTCGCTGTCCCGTCACACTTACTAGTGCATCAGCGTATCCATTCATTCACGGCTTCTTCTCGCTTTGGGTAGCCTCGTGTTATGATCATTGAGCCCGGGATGCTAGAAGGCAGTATCTCCACGCAGGCCCCTCGAGGCGAACGAGCATAAATACCGACGGACATAGATGGAACGCAAATTCTCACCATGGACCTTACCACTGCCACCGACAGCTTCACGACCATTGAAGAGGTCGACGCTGCCGTTGAGGACATCCTGGCCCACGGCCTGCCCGAGGCGATCGTCTCGAGGCTTACGAGCTTCGAGTTGCCCTTCTACGAAAAATCGTATGAACTGCGCCGCCTCACCGCTATGAAATACTTCTGCCGTCAAAGCCCTGACGTGACCCGGCACCAGAGGGTGCAAGACCAGCACAACCGCGCGGCCATTCAGTCGGAGGATGTCCCGCAGCGACACTTCGTAGGATTCAAGCACGCCTTCCATGAAATAAACTACATGAGCGGTAGTCCATTTGGCGACGATCGGATCCAACATTTCCTCGACCTGGGGTGTGCCCCGGGGGGCTTTGCCATCTGGGTGTTGCAGAACAACAGGAACGCTCGAGGCGTCGGTGTCACCTTGTCCCCGGAGGCCAAAGGCATCCGGATACAACTTGGCACCAAGTTTCTGAAGCGGTTCGACGTCCAGTATGGAGATGTGTGCGAGATTGCGACGGGACAGGCAACCATAGGTACGTGCAATATCATTTTGAGGCACTGTCATGGCAATGCGTGCTGACTGTTAGGACCAGGGGAGGTCCCAGACGGCGGTTTTGAGCTTGTCCTTGCGAATGCTGCGATCATGTTGGCGGACGACATCATCCCCTGGGCGGACACAATCCGCCTGGTATATGCCCAGCTACTAGTTTCCTTCCAGCACATCGCGCAGGGCGGCTCCCTGGTGATCAGTTTTAGGTCGCGTCCTTTGAAATGGGTCGTCGACATCGTTCGCCTCCTAGGTCAGGCATTCACGTCGACCAGGACAGAGAACCCGTCATTTCAGGGTCGACGCTCGTTTGCCTACGTCGTCTGCAGAGGTTTCAGTGCGACCGACGAAGAGAAGAATAGGTACATCCATCGCCTCGGCGAATGCGTGGAGTACTTGAAGAACGCCAGTATGATCGTCTGCTAGTATAGTGCACCGGGTGTAGTATGTTGACGTTGTTCATGGCAGCCGGACGTGTTGACGACCCATCCGGTGGGACGGCGAAGATCCCGCATCTCTGCGGCGCGCAAGACGAGGCCATCCCGGAAAAACATACCAGCACATAGTGGACATGTTCGCCAGCGTCTGGGAGCGCCAATATAACGCCATCCATTCCAATTACGAAAAAGTGCTACTCGAGCAGCAGGCGTGTGAGTACAAACCTGTCTCCGTAAGGTAACACACTCACAAGCTGTTTAGTCAATGCGCAAACGAGCGTAGGCGAGGACATCGGAGGTGGTCCTTGGCAACCTGTAGGACGTAGACCGGTCGCGCAGGCCAACGAAGGCGGCTCATTTAAATGGAGCCGTCCGACCGCACCGCCTGACGACATCTATCGGAAGCGCCGCATGGAGAAGAACGCGGCTTACAACACGTTCTTCAGTCGTCGTGATAGCGCGAGCGGCAGCGCTGATGGCCCCGGCACCTGGCGGAGGAGCTAGATGTGAGGACAGTCCATGGCAGCTGGAAATTCTGCGACTGTGAGTCTGTGTAGTTGCCGGCCTGCGAAATGACACTGACCTATCCAGAAGCATTGTCTCGTTGATGTTCTTGTAGATCCTAGTCTCGCGGCAGCCTGCATCTTGTACTACCGGTGCAGGCGTGACTGACTGCTATGTCTGCTGTCCTTCTGTTTTCAAAATTGACGTTTTACATGCTATCGCTGTTGCCTGGGCTGCGAATGTTCTGTATGTCTGTTGTCGTGATACGGCCGGAGCGTGTATGATAGGAGAAACCTGCTGTTTCTGCCAACGCATAAACTGATTTGGTGCAATGGAATGACAGAAAGCGGGTGAGATAACTGCTTCATGAGTAATGGGTATCCTCGAAAAACGGGGGTGCATACGACCAAATGGATATAGACAGCTCAACTCATCTCCCGTGAATGTCGTGCGAGGTGCATATGTTGTTTCCTTACTCCGATTGCGCAAAGATGATGGATTGAAACCCGTCTCGCCGACAGGATTTTGTCTGGTTGCAGTACTGTATCATAGTGCCGTCGTGTCGGGACTATCGCAGCCGTGAGTAATTTGGAGGGAATTACCATTGATCTCTACGCCGTCGCCGAGCGCTCTTTGAAGCCTCGTGCAAGTAGGTCTTTCGTATCGACCTGACCAGGCTTTCATCTCCGAGTAGTAAGCAGTCCGGACTCAGTCTAGCATAGATGTATGGTAAACCCTTTGACCACTCAACCAGGCCCTACCTTTCCTGGAGGACCTACCATCTGACTACCTTCTATCACAGGTGCTGCGTGTGATAGAACACCGACTATGAGATCCTGTGGTTTCTTCAAGGGTACTCCGCCTGCGGATTGAGTCATGCTCTGCATAGAGGCAGAGCCCTGCGAGACCCCCTGGGAGGACTGAACGTCATTCCACTCCACGCTGTTCTTCGCTGTCCCGTCACACTTAATGGTGCATAATATCCATTCATGATTCCCGGCTTCTTCTCGCTTTGTGTAGCCTCGTGCTATAGAAATTGAGCCCGGGTTGCTGGGAGGCAATATCTCCCTCCACGCAGCCTCGAGGCGAAAGAGCATAAATACCGACGGATGTAGGATACAACGTAATTCTCACCA